AAAAAAAAAAAGAAATCTTGGTGGAGAACCTCTGAATGTAGAGAATCCAAGGATTCTACATCCTTTCCTAATCCTACAAATTTTTATATGCATATATGAACTTACATTAGAGACCTATTAATTTTAATGGTATGGTGCAAATGACCCCACTACCCACCCAAAGTCATATTTAGAATCTCTGACCCATATTTTTATAGTGTAACTGTATTTGGACATAAGGCTTTAAGAGAGATAAGTAACTTCAAATGAGGCTGTTAGGGTTGATTCCTAATTCAGGATCACTGGTATTCCTATTAGAATAGAACATGAAGGAAAGATGTACACACAAAGAAGCCCCTGTGAACCCACCAGAAGGTGGCCCTCTGCAAGCCAGGAACAGAGGCCTGAAACAGATGTTTCTGTTCTGGCATCTAGAGGAAATCAACCCTGACCGCCATCTTGATATTGAACTTCAAGAATTGTATGCCAATAAATTTTTCTTGGTTAAGTCATTCAGTCTGTTACTCTGTTATGGAAACCCTAGGAAACTAATACCATAAAGAACATGGGAAAGGTTTTAGATATTCTAGAAACCGTAATACTAATGTATGACCATGATGTGCAGAGAAATCCTATAAATATAGAGAATGTGGGAAAGCATTCAGTTGTTAACACTTTTAAAAAATGTAAGAAATCACACAGGGGAGAAGTTCTATGAATGTAGGGCATGTGACAAAGCCTTTATGTATTCATCTGATCTTAATATTCATTTCCAATTCCTGTGGTGATAGATCCTGTGAAAATGAAAAACAAAGGAAAGTTTCTTTTATAATGAAAGTAAGGAATATGACCTCACACAACAACATTCAGTAACAAAGTGGACAGAAGCCCCATCACCAGGAATATGAAGGAGCTCTCATTTAATTTGTGTACTTTACATAAGGTGTAAGACAGTGTTTTTCAATGTTTTTTTAATCTCACAACACACTTGAACCTATTGTTAAATTTGCTTGGTACACTTAAATTTTGTTGATCAAAAAAAAAGTTTAAGAAAGAATATACTTACTGTGCTTTGAACTTCTTTTGCAAATAATTTAATTAGGAATCTTTAAAGTATTTTGCAGACACCAGTTGAAAATCACTGGAGAACTCTCAATATGGTAAAGACAAGACAGAAGACTGCTTGTAAGTCACATGGGAAAGCTTTTAATTTATGCAAGGCTTATCAAGTATGCAAGGCTTATTTTACATGTCTAAACTTACTGCAAATACCCTAGGAATGTAGTCAATGTATCACAACCTTAGAATATTTCATATGCCAAAATAACCTGAAATCTCACATTGGAGTAATATCCAGTGTACGTCCGAAACGTGGAGAAGTTTTATCTGGCTCAAGCCTTAATAGCTACATGAGTATTCATACTAGGGTGAAACTTTTTGAATATAAAGGCTGCTGGTAGTTGTTCACTTGTTCCTCATATCTTACAGTATCACAGTTCAGAGCTCTATGAATATAAGGAATGGTTGATAGCTGTCAGAATCTCCTCACGGCCCAGCATGTAATAACTTGGTGAGGCCACACAGTCTACGAACCATGGAAAGCCCTCTACTATTATCTCAGGGGCTACTTAAGATGTTGCAGTAGAGAGAAATCCTGTTAATGTAAGATGTGTTGGAAAGTGGTAGTTCTACTAAATAGTGTTCACTTCTCATCTCAAGAGTGCCAAAAAGTATTTCCTAATTGGAAATGTAAATGTTAAATGTTTGAATAACTTCATTTAAAAAATTATGCTTATGTTTTAGAGTAGTTTTAGATTCACAGCAAAATTGTGTGGAAAGTACAAAGATTTCCTATATTCCCATTGCCTGTAGATGTGTAGCTTCTACCACCACCTACATAGTCCACCAGAGAGGTATTAATATATTTTGTTAGACTTCATGAAGCTACATTGATAATTATCACCAAAAGTGCATGGATCATCTATGCTCTGCCTATTCATTTCCTCTCTCCCCGGGCATCCACTGATCTTTTAGTCTTGTGTTTTTCAGAATATTATATAATTGGAGTCATACAGTATATAGCCTTTTCAGATTGGGTTCTTCCAGTT